CTGTGAGCTGTGCTGCCTCCTGGGGGGGCTGGCTACCCCCGAGGAAGGGGCGCCCTTTCCTTTCATGACGGTGTTTCCCACTTGCCGTCGCACAAGGTTCTGTGGTAGCTGGATTACACTGGTGATCCCAACCCTTTACCCATTCCTCAGCCCCAGCCATTTCCCCTATGCGTCGCTGTGCCCTCCTGCTCCTGGCCGAGTGAGCTGCTCGCTCACCTCTCTGCGGTCAGCCACATGCATGCTATTAAGTGTGACGCAAACAGAGGCTTGAAAGAGCGCTTGCGACATCTCCACTGGCTCTTTGTTCCTCTGCCCTCGCCATGAGGACGTGCCCAGGCCAGGCCTCTGGAGGGTGAGATGGAGCAGAAGCCCAGTTACTGCTGCCCCGCCATCCCGTCCAGCAGAGGGCGCAGGAGAGCGCCCAGCCATGGTCAGCAGGGCTGCAGGAGTGAGCCCTGCTGAGATCAGAAACACTGCCCAGAGCACCTCCAGACCCACTCACTGTTTAAACCTCTGGGCTGGGGGAGTTTCTGAGGCAGCATCGTTGTGACAGTAGTTCACTGATACACCCACATCGGGGTTGGCCGGGACTGTCGCCCACCTCGATTTTATTGGTATTTGCTCCCCGCAGGAGGGTGTGTCTAAACAGAAAGCCTCCGCAGAGGCATCAGGCCCGGGAGCCACAGTTCCTACCCCAATGACGTAGCGAATGACGCCCTCTCTGTCTGCCTCGGGGATGACATCCCGGTACTCCAAGGGATCTTTATACTTTTCTCCGTCTGTGATGACAACTAGGCTCCTAAGGGCATTCTTCCGGGCTCCGCTGTTGCTGTTAAACAGTTCTCTTCTGTGCGGGAAGAGGAGGGAAAAGTCAAGTGCGAGCAGGTGGAGATACGCTTGATGCCCGGAGGGGTCAGGGTCAGCAGTCGCTGGTGAGGCTCAGCTGGCCCTGTCTAGGACAGGCTGGGGCTCCCCTGAGCCGACCACTGGGGTGAAGGCAGCAGGAGAGGGGCGAGGAGTGGCGGGAAGACACCGTCACTGCTTCTCCATGCTTTGCAGAGGGTGAGCTTTTTAACTACTATTCCTCTTAAATTAAAAAGTGTATATATAATTAAATATTTTATATTTAAAATCTTAATTGGTCTTCGTCAACAGCTCTCTAGCTTATCTCCTGCACTTTTGTCCCATCCCCACCTTTGCCTCTACACACACATACACACACTCACACACACACATACACATATACACATACACACACACACACACACACAGAAATCAGAATGAACGTTCCAAAAAGAGTGATGGTTCCATCTCCCCACTGTTAAACCTTCCGTGGATCCCCTCTGGCCTCAACTATCTCTCCAGCCTCCCTCCAGCCTTCCTCTCGCTTCCTCCTTCACTCCCACCTTTACTCACAACTTGTTTTGTCATGAACAATCCCTCCTCCACACCTTAGCATGCTGTTTCCCCAACCAGAAGTAGCCTTTACTCCCTCCTGCCTGAACAACTCCCTTCATCCTTCAAAACCCAGCTAAGAGGATCACCCCTTCTCACATCCTAAGCAAAAAGGGAAGAGCTTACACTACTTTTCGGATTCCCGTGGCTGTGAATGTCTTCCCTTGAAGCTGTGTGATTGGCCCCACCAGTAGCCTCGGGTCAGGGTTAGCCTTGAAATCTTGGAAGGTGAAATGCGTCTGGAACTTGTTGGAGTACTGCATCAAAGAGAACTGGGGACGGGACCTGGCATTACACTGAAGAAGATAAGATGCCTCTCCCCCCACCCCAACCCCCCTTAGCCATCTCCCAGAAAGCCCAGCAGAAATCTTAAAGCACCCCGGTCTCCAACTTCTACTCTGCCCCCTCTTTCTGCCCCACCAGGAAAGAGACCTGCCATCTGCTCTCAGTACTAGAACTCAGTCAGAGACGACACGGGGGTTTCATCTCCCACACCAACCCCTATCAAATAGTCAGAGCTGCCCACTTTACAGAGAGTTGGAGGAATACCGAGGCTCCATCCAGACAGAGCAAGAAGGAGAATCATGAAAGAAAATCATGATCGACTGACCATTTGTCAAAGTCTGCAGTTGAGGGAGGAGAGGAAAGTGGTGGCCTGGTTGCTCTGTCCCCGCAGCCTTGCTTGGGCTGTTCCCTAACCTCCCCATGGCCCTCACCAAGGTTTTGGACTTTGTGAACTGATTCATCACAGTTGAGATGAAATCCTTCATCCGCAGAAAGTCATTTGGGTCTATGCTGCCAGAGCCATCAATCAAGAAGGCGATGTCGCTCTCCTGCTGAGGGCACTCTGGACAAAGGAAAAGGGTGTGACGTGATTACGTACTTCAGCTTCGGGTGCTACATGTAGGTTAG